GCCATCCTTAACCCCGGTTCAGGGTCCACTCTGTGTGGACATGCTAGTTCGAATTAGCAAAACGCTAATTCGAACTAGTTTTTTAGTCTGGATGCGTTAGTTCGAATTAGCTTAGTTCGAATTAACTAATTCGAACTAAGTTAGTTCGAATTAGCGCTGTAGTGTAGACATACCCTTAGAGACTAACAAAAGTATATAAATAGTATATATTTATTTATATGTATATACAAATCTATAAATAATATCATGACCTTTCGTGAACTTTGTGCCCACAAAAGCTCATGATACTATTGTTATATATATATTTTTATTGCTACAGGACCATTGTTGTTTATTAAGTTTTTTTATCCAACATTAAGTTAATTTTGTTTTTGCCTCCTTCATTCAATTGTGACTAATACTTGCTTACAAAAGGTTTATAGAAAGAGCTCCATTAGAAAGATGCAAGCACACTTCTCTCAGGTGCACAACACACGTTCAAAGTGGATGAAATGGCCTGCTGTCAGACTGTGTTCTTAACTCAGGAGGTGAAAGAAATTTCATCAGATATGCCAGGTTTTACAGACAACAATTTTTGCAACAGAGAAGGTAAATGCTATCATTTTATCAATACAAAATTCATAATAAAAATTCAAAATGGTTTATTCAGTTGCCTAATACTGTCAAACATCACATTCATATTCTGTTACTATAGATACCATAGTCATTTTCTCCATTACTTTTGTTCATCTAAATACAACTGTCCAACAGAATCTCAATGGAGCAATAAAATGGTTTTTAATTAATCATATGCAAATTGTTCTTTCCTGAAAAAAAAAAAGAAGCCTCACAAGGGAGATTTAAAAACTGCAGCAAGTAACTATGTTTTCATCGCAACTTAAAAATTACAGCTATCTAACAGTAATTTAGTATTTAAGGTATTTTATAGATATATTTTATATACATATTTTTAGGGCATGTCTTCACTATGGGCTTGATCGACAGAGCAGTGATCGATCCAGTGGGAGGGTCAATTTATCGTGACTAGTATAGATGTAATAAATTGACTGTCTATCGCTCTCCCATTAACTCTAGTATTTCACCAAAATGAGAAGTGTAAGGTGAGTAGATAGGAGAATTTTTTCTGTCAACCCAGCGTAGTATGGATCCCATGGTAAGTAAATCTAAGCAATCCTGATTTGAGTTACAATACTAATATAACTCAAATTGTGTAGCTGAGATCCACCTGTCTTGTAGTGTAGACCTGCCCTTAGGTATAAGCTAGAAAAAAAAAAAGAGGTACACTTTTTTTAAAATTTTTGGTGAAGATTTTAGGTCATAATTTAGCTATCTTTAATAAAATATATTCAGAGACAAAAAAAAAATTAATCACAAATAATATTTACAGAAGAAACTTAGCACAAATACTTTAAGTACAGGCAGTCCCCGGGTTACGTACAAGATAGGGACTGTAGGTTTGTTCTTAAGTTGAATCTGTATGTAAGTTGGAACTGGCGTCAGCCGCTGCTGAAACTGATCAGTTTCAACAGCGGCTGAATCTGGATGCCAGTTCTGACTTACATACGGATTCAACGTAAGAAACCCACGCGTCCCCAAGTCAGCTGCTGCTGAAACTGATCAGCAGCTGATTCCAGGAAGCCCGGGGCAAAGCAACTCTGCCTCGG